TCTTGCCACATCACCGGTGATCAGCTTTGTTTCCTGGCATGCCTTAAAGTGATTTTGTTATGGGACAGTCAGTCCCTTCAATAACTCGTTCATTCGTTTCTGCTTTAACTTGGTGCTGGTATATGCCGTGAAGACAGAATCCATCAATTTCCCCTGTAAGCGATTCTCGGAAAGGGAAACCATCGACCATTTTACCAGCGAGTGGTTGCTGTTGGCATTTGCTATTACCCAGCGAGTGGTTGCTGTTGGCATTTGCTATTATTCAGGGTATTTTCCAATTGTCGCCCGCCATCTGTCACATAAAGAAGCAGTGATAAGTAACGGCCATTCGAAGGCCCAATTAGAAGAAGTGGACGGTGATCCAAGTAGGGCGGCGGCCAAAGTGGATTAAATTGATAAAAATTTTTCTTGCGACCATTTGTTAGGCGAAACCATAATTTCTGAAGTAACGGCCAGTCTGAACCGTAGAAAATACGGCGAGGAGTGAGGAGTGATAGGGTGGTGATTCTTTCTACCTTGCCTGGTTCGCAAAATCGCTTCCCATCAACATATGCTCGCAGAAGATCGTATCCGTATTTTTATAAGTTCTCAAATTAAAAAATTTTATTTAGATGTTTTTATTGTGGAGCGCCAGGCAATTATTGTCCCTTTGGTTACTGCATATTATTGTTTATATTGGAACAGTTAATGCGAAATTAAAAGGACGGATCTGTGCTTATGGTGATATTGATAGGGATCTTTACACCGATATCATTGTTCAGGACAGCGATCGACTGAAGATTTATCTCCAAGTAATTCTTGTTTTGGTTGTGATGCACGGAGAAATGAATATCTGTTCATGGACCATATAAACAGTTAGACTCTCTCCGTACTCCTTTCTCGAGCAATACGATTTTTTTTTATTTCAGAATGAGAATGGTGAGTTTTCTGAAGCGGGACAAAATATCAATCTCGGGTCAGCACAGATTGTTTCATGCGCCATCGGCGATTTCAATGGTGACTCGGTACCTGATATATTAGTATCAAAAAAGAAGGTATACCTTTTTTTCTACCTATAACTTTTTCCCAATATTCCGGAGAGCGGGACGGGGGAGGGGAGAGGGGATTCCACAAAAAAAGCGCAGAAAAGGTGATTTCTTGCTTTCTACGATGCCATAGCGTTGTGAAGGTTCACTTAAAATCAGGATTCTTACATAGATTTGTAGCGACATGTACTAATTGTGCTGTGTTCTAGGTAACTTTAGCCTTCTTCTCGCTAGGATTTACGGACATTTGATAAAAGTTACCTTTATTTTACCTGAATATGGCATAAACTCCAACTTTGTTGATTTTGTATTTCATTATACCCTGAATTTTGGGCTTTTTAGAAAAAATTTTGTATTGTTCACCCGAATTTTGGTTTTTTTTTTGAATAATTTTCTTGTTTCGGCTACTAATTCTCTTCCTTTTGGTTCGAATTGTGCACTTTTTTCTTACGCGGACAATCTTGGCTTTTTTCCAAAAAAGCGGATATATGCAGCTGGGATCTGTGCAGTGGGCTAATAACGTGAAAGGATCAGCTGCCTGAACAAGGAGGTTTTTTGTTACAGCCGAGCGGTGGCTTCTTTTCATCCGGTGAGAAAGGCTATGAATCGACGGTGTACATGTTCCTGTACAGTGCATACAAGCCATTTTACCTGAATGCAACATTGCTGGATGAAGTGGCTGTGATGGACGTGAATGGTGATGGGATCAGTGATGTGGTCGGTTTTCACTTCAACGGCTCATTATTTTGCCAACTTGGCTCTGCATCCGGGAATTTCTCCTCATGCGAACGTTCGTTCAAGTAAGTTTCTTGTAAGCAAACATTCTTTTTAGATAGCATAACTACTGCTGGAAAAGCCGGCCGACGGGCATGGCGAAGTGGAAAGTGACA